GAGGGCCAGACCATTATAAATAGGGAAGCATGTTGTTTACCACGACAGTAGAAGTGATTTTTTTTCTGAAGATATGTGTAAACAACGCGATTTAATAGCCTTTGAACGGGAGATACACACACACACACACACACACACACACACACACACACTGAGTGGCCAGATTATTATGACCACCTGAAGTTTGTAAGAACTGCCACAGTATTGAAGTCAAAAGGTGCCCCAACGAAGTACTGATGGGGTGGTCGTAATAATCTGGCCACTCAGCATATATATATATATATCCCTCCATCCCACGTTCAAAGACTGTTAAATCTCGTTGTTACCCATATCTTCAGAGAAAAATCACTTCTACTGTAGTGGTAAACAACCTGCTTCCCTATTTATAGTGGTCTGGCCCTCTAGCAACTTCAGCACAAAATTATAGCTAATTTGCCTACAAACATCAGGTGGTCATAATAATCTGGCCACTCAGGGTATATATCAGACAGATGCTGCTTACCCTCTACAAATTTTTATAAAAGATTACATGTGAAGATGAGAGGAGGAAATAAAGGGGTGGGAGTGAATAGAGGGAGGAGTTGCAGATGACACCCAGGTTTCCGACTTGGGCTGCTAGCTAGCTGCTGCACAATCCATCAGAGGGTGAAGGGGGAAAGGCTGGTTGGGGTTTTGACATTGAGTTTTCTTTCCTTTTTTATTTTGAGGGTGTTTTATTTTGTTTCTATCTGACACTGTGTTTAAAGCAATGTGCTCATTGGAGCTTGGCAATGTCATAACCTGTATCTGAAAAGCTTGGTTTTATGAGACCAATTAGAGATGGTAAAATATGTATTTTAGAGAGATTTTCCATCCTAATAGCCCCTAACCATCCCTGAGATACTTTTCCTGACTATTGCATTAATTATATTTGCATATTTTGTCTTTTCCATAAAATTATGAGAGTTTATGTTAGTCCATGTTCATGTGTCGGAATGTACACCCTTCCTTCACACCATTTTTCTATAAGAAAAGAAAAAGTGCATTTATATTATGACCTAGTAGAATGCAGTAGTAGGCACAAAGTTAATAAATTATGGCATAAGCTCTATTGGAATAAACATGATTCATCTTGATTTCAAATTCTGGAAAAAAGGGGAATGTGCTAAAATTAAAAGGAGTTTCACCATTGAATGAAGTCAGAGAGAGCTGTCTGCCTTTGTGAATGCTACTAAGATCCCTTTTAACTTGATTTTACTCAGAGATTTTCTGAAATATCTGTCAAAATAATTCAACTAATTTTGCTCTTTATTCCTACTTCTCTTGTAATTTCAGAGAGCCCTATGGGGCTAGATAAGTTTTCTTCTGTAGGCATTACTCTAAGAAGTTTAATTAAATACATACTAGAAGAAACTTTCCTTTCAATTGTCTTCCATGCTATAAATTTGATGTCACTGATGTATAGTTATAGGATGCATAGCTCTCATCTTTGCTTTTTCATCTCAGATCTGACCCCTCACCATCTTCTCTTGCCCTTGAGTCTGGCACCTTCCTGGTGCTGGCCGACATCATGCAGCATTGGCTGGGAGCCAGACCGAGCCTTACAGGAAAGCAGACTGACATGAGCTCAATAATTAGAACAATGCTGGACACAATGCTCAATAAGGATCTGCTGAATTAATGGATGCGTGGGCTACCTATCTGTTGCAAACAATTCAAGTTGATAACGGTGGGGCTAAGCATTATAAATGCGAATGGAAGACTGACCAGCTCTTTGGTCCTCCAAAGTCAATAAATCTTATTTAAAGCCTTCTTTTAGAGACATAAAAGTTTTATTCACTTTTAATATGTGTCAATAATTTTAGCAATGTGAAAAATAATCATTCTCAAATATTTTGTGCTTTATTTTGAATAATAGAGACTTTAACAGAGAATAGCAGCTAGCCAATTTCAATGTGAAGTGTTAGGATGACACGTAAGTGTATTATATAATACTAGAGGCCCGGTGCATGAAATTTGTGCATTGGAGGAGGGGTCCCTCAGCCCAGTATGCACCCTGCAGAATCAGGCCTAAACCAACAATAAGACATCCCTCTCACAATCTGAAACCGCTGGCTCCTAACCACTTACCTGCCTGCCTGCCTGATTGCCCCTAACCGCCTTTGCCTGCCTGCCTGATCACCCCTAACTTCCTCTGCCTACCTGCTTGATTGCCCCTAACCATCTCTGCCTACCTGCCTGATCGCCCCTAACTCTTCTGGCTGCTGGCATGATCACCCCTAATTAGCCTCCCCTGCCACCTTATTGCCCCTAACTGCCCTCCCCTGCTGGCCTGATGGCCCTTAACCGCCTCTGCCTCACCCCCGCCACAGTGTCTTTGTCTGGAAGGAGGACCAGATGACCAAAAAATGTCTGGTTGACCTGGTCTAATTAGCATACTACCCTTTTATTAGTATAGATACTTCAATATCAAATTCTTAGCTACTTATTATTCAATAGCTCTTGATGTAGAGTTGTTATAAATTCATCAACTCTAAAACCAACTAAATAATTTGAGGACTATAGTGTTCTGAAAATTCCTAAAATTGGTGTTTCTTATTGATTTCTTTGGTCTTTGCCATGTTCATTGGAATAATACAAAATAATTTCCAATTACCATTATTTTATCCTTTGTCTTACAATGTGCTTTGTTGACTTATTTTGATTCCAAAAGCTAATAAATAAAAGGGAATTTTGTCTAGCCACATTCAGTCATATCTCTACAGGCACAGATTTATCTGTACTTATAAATATACACATTGCACTCAGGTTTACAGATGGATGTGCAGCTCCTGCATCCTCAGCAGCACAAGGCAGCCTCCATCCCTGGCATGTTCATGTGCCCGTTTCACCTGAAACTCTTGCTATTTCTATTACTGCACCTCAAGAGCAGCTGCAACTCTGCAGAGTTTTTGTTCTGAGAGACTATGGTTATTTTTTTTCCAATTATCTTAAGAAAACTTAGCAAAATGCATGTTTTAACTACAATGATGATATCCAATAACTTGATATAGAACCACAATTTTATTTAATCTAAAAAGCTAGGCACTGAAGGAATGATCTAAATAAAAAAAATAATGTTTTATTGGTATTGTATTTGCACCTCCCACAACCTTGGAAGTCACAATATGAAAAATTAGAGTGAGCTGTAATTTATAAAATGTAAAGAAAGAGATAAAAAAAAGGAAAGGAAAATTAGATGTCAGAACTCAGAAGATTTTGTTTGGTTAAATATTTTGTTAAACCAAAGTAAACTACTTAGGGCCCTCTTTAGATAAAACAGTATATTTTCAAAGGGCATTCATAGGTTCAAATATAAATACCACTTAAATTGTTATTATTATTAATTCACATAATACATATTTCCAGAATCTGCAAAAGCATTGTTTTACCCTGACTAGTACAACTATTAACCATATCAAAACAAACCCAATAGGCTTTGCGAAACTTATTTTCCAACTCATGCATTCTTTCCTAAGTTAAATTTACAAGTTTGATCAAAATATAGTCCAATCTGCATATGCCAAAATATAATTATTTTCAGTTATTAGGGTTAGAGCCCCAAACTGTCTTTCTTTCCTGCTCTATGCTCGGTCCCACATGAAATATTCATGGGCCTCCATTGGCCATGCAAGTCAAGAAAGGTGACAGTTCTGGAACCCACAGAAGTTTGCTCTATTCAGCAACCAGTGTGCTGAAGTACATTTTTATCCAAACATCATTGCAGGCCACACTGATCTAGGAAAGGATGAGTGCTCATACCAATGAGCTCTCCAAGTCCCTACAGAGAACTTTTTCTTCTAAATTATTTGGAATTTTAAGAGACATGCACAACCTCACTTGGAATGGTAGAGACTAGGGAATTGTCCCTGGGATGTCTGATTGCCTCATGACTTGATGGTGGAAGGTGGAACAACATTTAAGTCCTCACTCTGAAAGAAGAACTTCCTCATGTGCATAATGCATATTATGCACATAATAACTGACAGGCTATTTCCAATTAACATTATTTTATCCTTTGTCTTACAATGTGCTTCGTTGACATATTTTGATTTCAAAAGCTAATAAATAAAAGGGAACTTTGTCTAGCCACATTCAGTCACCTCTCTACAGAAAGATAGCTTTGCTCTTGCTTCGCAAGCTGGCTGGTCTCTAGTGTATTACCCAAACGTTGGATTTCATGGTAACGTTAGTTCTCTGCTTTTCTGTACATAGAACCACATACACCCATTTCCATGCATACTCCCTTCACATGGAGATGTTCTTTCCGTGCAGTGGTTTATGTGGAAGAGGTCAGTAGTGGCAAAAGGAAATTCTTTGGAGAGATTCACCTTCTGAAAAGTTATAAACCGCTTTGTATAACTTCCCATTGTTGCCTTTAATCCCCACCATCACCCTCCACATGTGGAAAAGCAATAAAAATTGAGGCTGAAGAAAAACAGTAAGATGCCTTCAATTTCCTTTTGCTGTGGTTTTACGATAAAACCTCCTTCTGTGACTATAACTATCAACTTTATTAAGGAATAGCTTTAACCCAGAGTCACATTAGAACCAGAAAAAGAGGCATTTGTTAGGCAGTAGGTTATCTCGGGGACACTCACCCCTGTGAATCATGTATGCCTTTTCTCTCTTCCTCTTTTAATTAACATTGGGAAAAGAACAGTTATGTTAGTAGGTAACAGAGCTGGAAAGAGAGATCCAGAAAGTGCCATAAACTATGCCAATCTCCAGCCTTGCCAACCAGGACACATGAAATATGGGAAATCAGCCTTAGTCAACACATATTCAATGTAAAGCGACCTTGAGGGAATTGTGTGTGTATGTGTGTGTGTGTGTGTGTGTGTGTGTGTGTGCGTAAATAAGAACACCACAGACTGAATCATTTGGGGAGAATATAAATGAACTAAAAGAAAGGCAGGAGAGGGTCTTGAAGAAAAAGTTAAATCCAAGGAAAACTAGACAAATACATTCCTTGCACTTACCTTTTCTGCCGACTGAGCTGTACCAAAAAAGATGGGGATGAAGGCTAACCAAATGATGCAGGTGGTATACATGGTAAATCCGATAGGTTTGGCTTCGTTGAAAGTCTCTGGAACGCCTCTCGTTTTAATGGCATAAACAGTACAAGTGACCATCAAGAGGATGCTGTACCCCAGTGAACAAATGAGCGAGAGGTCGGAAATGTCGCACTTGAGCACGCCTCTGGCATTCTCTGGGTCTAGAGTCCGCTGCTCGCCATAGTCAATGATGATGTGTGGGGGGTCCACCACAAACCAGACACACACGCCCAGGAGCTGGACGGAGATGAGGCTGAAGGTGATCACCAGCTGGGATGCCGGACTAATGAACTTGGGCGCCGTGACGGATTTCTTCCCCTGCTCAAATATCCGGTGGATTCGGTTTGTTTTGGTCAGCAGGGCTGCATAGCTGAAACACATGCCCAGTCCTAGGAAGATCCGTCGCAAGGAGCATATGATGGTATCCGGTGCTGCGATCATCAGGAAGGTGATGGAGTAACACAGGAAGATCCCTGTCAGGAGCACATAACTAAGTTCGCGTCCTGAAGCCCTCACAATCGGGGTGTCGTTATAGCGGACGAAGGTCACGATCACAAAAGTGGTGGCGATGATTCCCAATATGGCAACAAACACGGGCACCACAGCCCAGGGAGAATGCCACTCGAGTTTGATGATGGGGATAAGCTGGCAGGCTGTGTGGTTGGTGTTCGGTCTCTGGTCCAAAGGGCAAAGTTCGCAGGAGAGCTCATCCACCTGGTAATTGTAGCCTTCACAGCGCTCACAGTGCCAGCAGCAAGGGACTCCTTTCACCGTCTTCTTCCTCTCCCCGGGCTTACAGGGCAGGCTGCAGACAGACGCTGGGTGCGCGTGTTCCCTGCTAGCCCACTGCATGTCTTCCACCTGTGGGCATAAAAAATTAATGAGCCTTCCATTCTCCCCCATTTATAATATCCTAATCCTAGCTAGAGGTTTGTAATAAATCACTGAATGTTGACAGTACAAATACAGTTTACCATCCTAAGAGCCCAGTTTCTTTCCCTGATATTGACTTGAGGAAAGTGTTAAATGACTGGGTCCAATAAATCATTCACATAATCAACTTGACGAGTGTCATTAGTTCCCATTTACCTACTCAATGTTGACCAATCTGACATTCAGAGAAAGATTGATTGACCCAAACAGTTTGAAAGCTCCGAAAACAGCCCCATGGAAAGATGTTTTAGCTCTAATCATAGGTATAAATGCCAGAAACCCTCAGACACTGGCTTAAGGTAGAAACACACATATAAATGAGGATCCAAGTTTTTATACTATATTTCCAGAAATTCAAACCACACTGTCAAGTTTGAAAAGAGATGGCAAAACTAGCTACTTTAATCTCTGACACTCCTCGTGTGTTTATGCTGATAATTCTATTAATGTTTTGCATCCATTTAAGTTTGAAATACATTTTTCCCAATCTTGCATTTCCACACTGTGAAAAACACCATGCTGAATGAGACAGCTGGGTGGTAATGTTTTCCATTGAACAAGCATAGCCTTATAAGGTGGCATAAAGCAGTGAAAGTGGTACAAATGAGGCAGTCCACATTTGTGCTTATTATTTGCTTAAGGAACTTAAAGTTCCACTTTGCCCTTTTGGGTTAAATCACAAAATATCTCTATTAAAATTAAAATGTTATTTTTAGGTGATTCGCCACTATGTGACCTCTTACCATGAATTTGTTTACTAAAGGGTCTGGACCCAGTTCCAACATGTGTGAGGCGGAAGTCGGGAGTCTCCCACACCACCAAGCAATCCTGGGACACCAGCCTGGTATCCTATGAGTCAGCTCGATTCTGACATTATCTACCTGGAAATAGCATCAGGTCCCTCAGGTTAAGGGCTCAGTCCCCAAGCTCAGTACTTGCAGAGGGATGCCAAATCTCCCCAAGGTGGGGTAGAGAATTCATACCAGTGTAATTTCCAACACCCTTTCTTGAGAAAGTAGACATTGCTTCATGTGTCATAACAGCACTCAAGACCATTCTATCTACCCTGTCTGTTACCACAGAGGAAAACAATCTATCTCAACCCTACTAATTGACTAGTGGGTTTTTAATGATTTAGAAAGTTATTATATTTCCTTATAGGATCCCAGTAGGAAAGAAAAAGATTAAATTAGAAGTTTCTCTCAGAAATATTGAGAAAAATAAAATGCTCCACTTAGTGGCTAACATATTGATTTTATACCAGTGATGGCGAACCTTTTGAGCTTGGCGTGTCAGCATTTTGAACAACCCTAACTTAACTCTGGTGCCGTGTCACATATAGAAATTTTTTTATATTTGCAATCATAGTAAAACAAAGACTTATATTTTTGATATTTATTTTGTATACTTAAATGCCATTTAGCAAAGAAAAATGAACCAAAAAAATGAGTTCACGTGTCACCTCTGTCACGCATGTCATAGGTTTGCCATCACTGTTTTATACTGTAAATGGACTCATATAAGATAATGAAATTTGTTTTTCTGAAGACTATGTTTTAGAGGTAATTATTAGAAAACCAAAATTGTATTTTGTTTGGGGCTTCTTAGATCTATAATGTTACTATAAAAAAGGCAGCAAAAATGTGTTAGAAATATTAAACTTCAAGATTGGTAAAAATCTTAAAGGTCACTCCTTTAGAAACAATGTTTTAGGCCCTCTGCATTATCATTCTTATGCAAAATAGTTTTTGCAATGTACTCATCTTAAACATTTTGCAAGAAAAGCATCAGCGTTCAAATCCAATGTCCTACTCTCAATTCATCCCTTGTTTTGAAACACTCCTTTCTTAACATCTTGAAACATTATGACTATCATTTCTTTCCAACTGTCATGAATGCTGGTTCCCTCTCTTCTGTTTGGTTCCCTTAATTCTGACAATGGTTCTATCCATAATGTTTTCTGACATATCTTTCTCTATCACACATATCTCCCATTCCCTGGCTTCAATCATCATTGCTCTACTTCAATCCTGCTCTCATTACTTGACAACTAGTACAACATTTCTGGTGACCTGCTAATAAGACAAAACCAAATTATGAGCAACAAAGCTCATCATATATATATATATATATGTTCATTATCTGGCCTAAGGAATTTTCTTCTGGATATCTCTAATTTTGTTCAATTGGGTTTCATATCTAGCCTCAGTCATTATATTTTTACTTTGATCCATCCATTGCTTTATCCAGCTTTACTGAAGTAATTTCTCATAATGCCATTTTTTGACCACCATCAAGGGTTTGCAATTGGCTGTTCTTTCTCTTCTAATTCATCTTGCACATATAAATCAGGGCCAGATAAAAATATTATAAATATATTTTATTTGTTTCCTCCCCTGATAAAAAAAAATTGCAAAGACTTCTCACGGATAAAGAGGAAAAATAAAAATTGTTAACCTGACTTTAAGCCCTCAAACCCTCGGTCTCAATCTGCCTCTTGAATTGTATATAAAATGCTCATTCAGGAATTATATGCCACACTCAGTTTTTGTATTCATATTTCTAAAATATCTGTTTTGGCTTTCTTTCTCTATTTACTCCTGTTTTGCCTCTGCCTAAAATACCATATTTCCATTTTGGGCTATAAAAACACTGCTATTCAGTTTCTTATGCAAGGAGCTTAGACATTGCCACTCCATCTTAATTTACAAGCTGAACAGACTGAGAAATCAACACTGCTTCAAAGATCCCAATCAGAGGTGACAACACAGTGCATACGACTGCCCCCAAGATTGGAGAGACAAAAAGGTGAATAGCATGAGTCACTACTCACAATGGCCACTCTTCAGCTTTTTTTAGGAACGACCTAGTGAACCAGTGCTGGGGTAAGAAAACCTGAACTCTAATTGCTAGAGGCTCAGTGTGGACAACTCTTAAGAGGTAAACTCCAGTGGGACTCAGTCATAGGTAATCCCATAATTTTGTGAGATTTATTTTCAGGAGCTCAACATTGTTCTCACAGTGAATTTGAGAAAAATCTCATGCTTCCAGCAGGGGGAGAGAAAAAGGAACCATTTTGAAATATGCGAGATCACTCTGCTTTTTTTGAAAAGCCTGCCCAAAGGGAAACTGGTTAACGAGCTGAACCTGCTGGGGCATTATCAGACCTTAACTGACCTAGGGAAGGGAAATACCCAACCCCAGCCCACTCTAGCCATTTTGTCCAACTGAGGGGAAAGAAAAAACAGAAACACTTGTAAAGTTCATAGTCCAGACCGAGGCATCAGCTCATTAAAGGACTGAGACCTAACCAAGAACTATACAAAATTTCTCCTCCTCCAACACTTTACAACCACAATATAAAGGCCTATTTACACCAGTTCCTCTAACCCAACACATCTTGTAAAGCTATCAGGAAAAAGTTGCCAGGCATACCAAAACAAACAAACAAATAAACACACACACACACACACACACACAACTTAAAGAAACAGAGCAAGCATCAGAACCAGACATGGCAGGGATGTTGAAATGATCAGACGGGGAATTTAAAACAACCGTGATTAATATGCTAAGAGTGTTCTAATAATGAAAGAAGACAGTATGCAACAACAAATGGACAATGTAAGCATAGAAATGGATATCTTAAGAAGGGATTAAATATACTAGAGATGAAAAAATGTATAACAGAAATGAAGAATACATTTGATGGACTTGAAGGCTGAACATGACTGAGGAAAAATTGCTGAGTTTAAGGATACCACTATGCATATGAAAAACAAAGACAACAAACACTGATAAAAACATAATAGAATACCCAAGGATGTTTGGACAACTATAAAAAAATGTGCCATATGCATATGAGAATAGTGTAAGAGGCCTCTGGAACATCAAGCATAACACCATGCACATCATAGGAGTGCCAGAAGGAGAAGAAAAAGAGCAAGGACTTGAAACTAACTCTATCTGAGGAAATAATGACTGCAAATTTCCCTATCCTGGTAAAGGAAATAGACATACAAGTCCAGAAAGCACAGAGTCCAAAACAAGATGAACCAAAGAGGCCCAAATCCAAGACACATTGTAACCAAAATGCCAAACGTTAAAGACAAAGAGGAGATCTTAAAAGCAGCAAAAGAAAAATAGTTAACTACAATGGAGCTCCCATAAGACTGTCAGCTGATGTCTCAACAGAAACTTTGTAGGCCAGAGGGATTGGCAAGAAATAGTCAAAGTAATGAAAAACAAGAACTTACAACCAAGCTTATTCTATCTAGCAAGGCTATCATTTAAAATAAAAGGAGAGATAAAGAGCTTTTCAGACAAGAAAAAGCTATAGCTCATCACTACCAAACCAGTATTACAAGAAGTGGCAAAAAAACTCTTCTTTAAGAAGAAAGAAAAAAATAGGAATAATAATTGCCTGGCCAGTGTGGCTCTGTGGTTGAGCATCAACCTATGAACCAGAAGGTCATGATTTAATTCCATGTCAGGGCATATGCCCAGGTTGTGGGCTTGATCCCCAGTGTGGGGCATGCAGTAGGCAGCTGATTAATGATTCTCTCATCTATAATGATTCTATTTCTCTTTCCCGCTCCTTTCCTCTCTGAAATCAATAGAAGCATATTGAAAAATAGAAATAATAAAATTGCAATAAATATATATCAATAATTATTTTAAATGTAAGTAGGTTAAATGCTCCAATAAAAAGATATGAAGTGTCTGAGAGGTGAAAAACAAGGTCCATACATGTGCTGCCTACAAGAGACTCACTTTAGATCAAAAGACTGACACAGTCTAAAAGTAAAGAGATGGAATAAAGATATTTCATGCAAATGGAAATGGAAGAAAGCTGGGGGACACTGAATTATTTACAGATTTAACATGTGTCGCAGCATATCTCTAGTAGTAACCAGAGTTTTACTGTT